TCCCCTCAGTGCGAGCAGAGGGGTGTGGGGGGGGGGGGGGGGGGGGGGGGGGGGGGTTGGTTTGGTTGATGCATGATACGTCGATACCGGAGCTTGACTCCAGGACCCCTGCAGACTCCCGGATCGATAACATTACTCTGCCTCTTCATTCAGCTCCCCTGCAGCAGGTCGACTCAGAGAGAGCTCCGCTCCTCACATCCGCTCTGCTCGCACTGAGGGGAGGTTTCACTTCTTGTGCCTTCTGAAGTATTTGCTCGGCCTCGACCTTAAACTTGAAGAAATGATCTGCAGCACTGGCTCTATTGATCTCGACCTCGGATACAATACACAGATAAGAAAGGATCTGTACTCTGTGAAGCACTCATAACAGTAACAGTACAGATTTCACTTCTTTTTTAGAGATAGAGAACTGTTCAAAACTTTTCGATTGAACTAATAACGCCATATTCGCTACTGAGACTTGAGACTAAAATTATTATCTGTCATTGTGTGATCAAAAGGACACCAAAATAAACCAGGATGGTTTCACTTTATGCCTTCCTTCACTTTGAAATAGGCAACAGTGTTTTATGATTGCTATAAATGCTGTAGTGGAGTCAACTAAAAGCTAATAAACTTTTATATAGCAGAGTCAGACACTCGGTTTGTTAGGCTAATAGCAGATGCATTAGGGGTAAGCCTACGCTTTGCTTCTTGACAAACAGTGTCTCATTTTAACATGTGCCTCCTGGCTTTTATAATGCCGTGGAGTTAATATTTCAAATAGTTGTTTAGCGTCCTTTTTTCCATCACAGAGTTATTTTCTGTTATAATTCATCGCTGTCTTTTTGTTGCTTTACAGCATAAATCTACCATGCATGCTAGTTAACAAGGATACAATAAGTAAAGCCACCATTAAGTCTCAGATATCACAACAGAGTGACTAGTACGTTCATGATGCACAATAATTATGTTTCATTCATTGATCTTTTTGACAAAGATCAATGATGTTCATCGCTCTGTATGCATCACGATGCCTTTTTTATATTTACATTTCATGCACTTTCCAGTATTATGTTAAATGAAGTGATCTGTTTTAGATGAATGGAGTTTGAACTTATCTGTACACGCTTACAGATAGACACATTATAAATGAAACAGCTTTCATTGATTGGTAACACAGATCAATGACGCAACCGCTTTATTAAAGCTTCACTCCGTCTGTGATGTCCTTCGTGTTTCATAGCTGCAGTTCATCTGCAATAGATGTGCGTAGGTTGAAGAAATGTATGCAGCTATTTACACTTGTGGATGATCAGATTTCAGAGCACTTCAGCTTGTGCAGGAAGGAAACAAAGATATGTGAGCTGCTGTGAAGGCTGTGACAGACGGAGCTGGATCAGAGGTGAAAGAGTTGTGGGAGCGTTTTTATGATTCTGGCATTATAAAGACACCGAGCACAGAGAGACGTGATGTTAGAGGTCCGAGTACAGAGACACTCGTGTTGTCAGAGTAACGGCACATCAATGCAGCGCGACCTCCGATTACAAAACTACTGACTTCATCAAGCTGATGGCACATCTGGCTTAAATCCCAGATTTGGGAAGTTGCAGATGTGCAATCTTCTTGAACCGCTGTGATTCAATTTTTTGGTGTTGCGTTGTGAAATCACGGCGTAAGAGTTTTCGGCGAGAGACATTCCTGTCCATTAGCCTTCAGCAGACCAGTAAGCTGAGACATGCTGTGTATCTCAAAGCTATTCTTCCCCCTCCCTCACTCTCTCAGACCTCTCCTGAGGGTTTGTAAGGAAAAATAATTATTTTTAGACATTACAGGCAAGATCTGCTGTCACTTCTCTTTCTTTTTCTTTTCATTTTTCATAAACCCTAACCATGGGAAATGCATATTCACCTCCCCCTTTCTCACTGTTCAGGCAATTGCCTTGCTTTTGGCTTCGTACTGCCACCCATCCCAAAAAAAAAAAAAAAAGGAAAAGCTGCCCCCAGGGAGAGTGTCGCCATAGCAACTGCCTTCACCAGAGCAACTCATCAAAGCATCCGTCTGAGGTACATGCTGCAGCCCTCGGTTTCTACCGACAGAATAACCTGAGAGTTTATGTTTTGGGGGCAGAAAGGAGACTGGAAGGCTTCCGGGGCTGAGAGCAAAGAAGAAGAGAGCACAGATGTCCAACAGCTGATCAGCATGACAGGCCGCTTGAGAAGACGCATACAGTGCAGCGTCGCTATTCTGGATGCCTCTTTCATGCGATAGGATGACAAAGTTTGCATGCTAAACCTCGGTGATTTAGCGGACGAGCCCTGTCCTGCAATAACGGCTGGCACGGAGAAAATAGGCTTTGTCCTCGAAGAGAGACGAAAACAAAGACGCTACCAACCGTCAGGAAAAACTCACTTCAACTCTGGTCCTTGAAAATGATGCACAAGAAGCATTTCATGGCACAACAAGCATCCAGGCAGGCGGTGCTGCACTCTGGCACAGACATAAATGTGTAAACATTACTGCACAAACATTTACATTTTCGAACTGAACATAGCCAAATGACTGTCCCCCCTCCTCGGGACCATGCGGCCTCCTCCTCTCACTCTCCGACACTGGGGCTCAAGGATCAAATCTCATATCCCCGATCACAAGGGACCCTCTCTTAATCCATGCTGTCTGTTGTTCAGCTTCCATGCATCATGACGGCTGCACTGTGCTTATTGTGTGCTTGCCGACCCACCGTCGTCTCACACAGCAGAGGAGCTATTAATAGCTCCATGCTCCCCAGCAGTTTTTATTCAACCAGCTCGGCTCGAGGTGTGAATTGGAGCTGCACCACACTCTCGAGGCTTTCTGTTGAAATGTCAAGGGAATAGAGGGAAGCTAGGCCGTCATTGACACTTTCTATTTTTTATTTATTTTAAACTCGAGGAAGGACAGGAAGCAGCTGCCAGTTTCACTTCCTGTCTCACTCTTCAGCGCAAGAAGAACACTGTGTCTACATGATGTTCTTGTGGGTTGTACCACGTCTGAAAGAAATGGTGTCTAGCATGAAGACACACGGGATGAATGGATATAATTAAATATGGTAATAGAATAAAAATGAAGCTTTGTAGTTGTAAATCAGAAGGAAGTTAGTCAAATCATTTCATTTGGTAGAAATATTCCATAAGGCAGAGAACAATAAGTACATTACTGTATGTCATTTGTTCTCTAAATGTAACATTTTGTATTCCTCATTGTCAAGTACAAATCATTTCGTTTGCAGCTTGCAGGCTGTTTTTGAGTGGAAAAATAAATCAACTTAGAAAAATAACTGTCTATCCCTCCGCAGCCATCCACGAGTTTCCAGAGGACATCTTTACCAAGGAGCAGAGGAAGGACGGGGCTGTTTGTCTGCATGCACTCTGTGTGAGTATGTCACACGATCTAGAAGCCAACATGTATTAGAGACATAACTCATTTATTTTATTAAAATGCATGTGTACCTCCACTCTCTTATCTGTGCTCAACTGTGCTGCCCAGGCCATCTACATGTTCTACGCTCTGGCCATCGTCTGTGACGACTACTTTGTCCCTTCCCTTGAGAAAATATCCGAGGTGAGAAAATGGCACCACCCTGCCATCAGACATCATTTTCTTAGTCTAGTAGATTCATATTTGATTATTATTATTGTTATTATTATTATTATTATTGTTATTATTATGAGCTTTTTGTTTTGTTTTTGTCTTTCAGAACTTGCAGCTCAGTGAAGATGTGGCTGGGGCGACATTCATGGCGGCAGGCAGCTCTGCGCCGGAGCTTTTTACCTCTCTCATTGGTTAGTAGCTCAGCCAATCACGAGCAAGTACCAGTTGTGGCAGTTTTGACAAAAGCTGCCAAAAATAGTTGAACATGTATGAACATTTGAACACATTGGAAGTCTTCACTGCCTCTGCAGTGCCAGAATCATCCAGGAGATGTCAGCAGAGTCTAATTTACAACCTTAAAAGGGATTTTCGTTATTTCTAGGTATTTTCTTAGAGATTAGTGACTAGTGAACTCTAAATACAGAGCTGGATGGCGTGTGTTTCTGTGTGTAATCAAAAAGAAAAAGAAAACAGGGAGATGAGATAGGAGACGACAGACTGAGGGGATTTTATCTAATCTGAATTCTAAACAAAGGCACATACCGAATGCACAGGTTTGACTTCCTCTCCTCCCATCTGTCTCTCTGTGTCACCCACCCTCAGGTGTTTTCATCACCAAAGGAGACGTTGGAGTCGGCACAATTGTTGGCTCTGCCGTCTTCAACATCCTGGTGATCATTGGCCTGTGTGGGATCTTTGCAGGCCAGGTAGGAAAAAAACGTGCACAACATCTTGCACGCAGTTGCTCCTGAATGAAGGAACACTGACATTTATAACTTTCCTCCACAGACGGTGGTCTTGACGTGGTGGTCGCTTTTTCGAGATTCCTCCTACTACATCCTCTCTGTACTAGCTCTCATCATGGTGAGGTTTGCTGGTTGGTGCTTTTGAGTCAAGATAATCAGTTATTGTGTTTAAATCTTCTACACCTCCACATTGTGTTTTGAAGAATACATTTTCCCCTCTTTAGGTTATCTATGATGCCACAGTTGTCTGGTGAGTCCACGCACCTTGAGTTCTGTTTGTGTACTTGTCATATTATCACATTTCTGCAGCAGGCATCTGTATTCACACCGACACAGATCTGCAAATGAATCTTGGTCCCCTCACTCGCTCTAATTGGTGTCAACAACCTCCCCCTCAAATGACTGTTATTACAATCATGAAGATTAGGGTGTCAACGAGTTCAACAATCAGTGGTTGTGGAACATGTTAAATCGATTTGGTTCTTGATTCGTACTCGACAATAACATCTGAATACGTATTTCGAGTCGGCTCATTTCAGGGGCGGCTGAACAAGCGATGTGTTCAAAAATGTAATGACTTTTCATTTGTTTCATTTGTGTGAGGTAACTGTCCTCACACACATGATCAGTGATTTGGAGCTTAGCTGATTCATTTCTTTTGTGGAGCTTTTCCTTCTTAACAGGCTCACTTGGTGCTGTTGATGCATTCTTAGCTTCCTGTCCTGAATATTTAACCTGATCTAAATAGTGAAGTTGTTCTATATACTACAGAGCTTTTCCCTTTTCAGTGCACCTTGGAAGCAGGTGAAGTTGTGCTAGAAGCCTCCACTCTGTACTGAATGTTTTCCCATCAGTCAACCTGTCCCTCTACTGTTGTATGTGTCAGTGGTTTTAATGAAAGAGCAGATTTATTCATGGATTTAATGTGGGTTGAAGGTGTGGATTCATCAGTGATATATGGCAGGCTGTTAATTGAATCGCAGCGGGCCAAGCTGTCCCGGCGTATTTCACCTCACCACTGTCCTTCTGAATATGTACTTTGTAAGGTTTGTATCCGAGCTCTTTTTAGCAAATCACTGCATGCTCCTAATATCTGAGATATGAGTCTCTGCACATTTGCAGCAGTAGTCATCTAGTTCCTATCCAGGCTTAGTGGACCAGCTGGAGCTAAGCAGCAAGTGTGTTGATGCATTTTCAGGAGTACACAGTTGTGTTGTGAAGTGTTTCTCTATAACATGTATTGCTCTTGAGCAAGTGAGCAACAATCAAAGTGATAGTTTTGAAAAAAAGGTGGTTATTTTTCATCGTTTAGCATTCAAAAGCTCAACTAATCTGCTTCATCGTGACTGTGTAGCTGTGGCTTGATTAGATTTGACTTACAGAACTGGCAATTAAGTATTTCATTATTTTAACAATTCATTTATCTATGTTTCTTTTATAATGTATATAACAAATGCCATGCTCTGTAATTTAAAGATAAAATATTTTAAAATGAATTATATTTAACATTTTTATTGATCAACACCCCTTGCTGTTACAGTATGATTAAAGGTTAACTTACTATATTTGTTATATTTGAAGATCGCTTACAGTGCAAACACCAGACTAACACAAATATTTGCTGTGCAGGTGGGAGTCGCTGCTCCTCATGACTATGTATGGCATCTACATTATAATCATGAAGTAAGTTTACCAAAAGACTAAACAGTCGTCATCTCTCCGTATTTATGGTATATATGAATGTAAGCAAACGATATCCCTTTGTTTGGTTGCAGGTTCAACTCCCAGCTTCTGGCGTTTGTGACCCGTCAGCTCAGGAGCTCCGGGCCGTGCTGCCTCGGATCAGAGAATCACACGGACAACAAGATGGGAGAGGAGGGCTCTGCTTGCAACACCTCCCTGGTGCTTCTTAACAAAGGTCAGAAGATGTTTGAATGGTCTTCTCTTCTTCCCTTCTGTGGGTCTGTTCTCTCGCAGTGTCGTATATAAACGGAAAGTTATTTGTCATGTGTTTGATCGACGACAACTTTTTCACAGGCCAAGCCAATGGTCAGGAGGCGCCTCCGGTCATCATGGTGGATGAGCTTCTCATCCTCAACCCCCACAAGCTGTCCTTCTCTGACGCTGGCCTGCGTATCATGATTACCCCCCACTTCTCTCCCCGCACCAGGCTCTCCATGGCAGGACGCATGCTCATCAGTGAGGTATTTGATGCACATATAACGCACATAACACATTTTTGTCCGAGCTCTAAAACAAAAACAAACTTTCTTTTCTCCTCTCGTAGAGACAGAGGCTGATCCAGAGCTCGAAGAATCAGCGGGATGGCGAGGCCGGCCCGGGGTCACGAGGGGCATCGACCAATAACAGCCTGAAGAGGACGGGCTCCTGCAGTCTGGAGAACGGAGGCAGTAGACCTGAGATAGGAGACGCAGAGCCAGGAGACAAGCCTGGAGTCGAGGTGGGCCCGACAGAGGAAGAGGAGGGGGACGACGATGGGATTTTCAGCCCTGTGCGCATACCAGGTGAGGAAGATCCAGCACTAACTGTTAACAGGCGTGAAGTGCAAGTAAGACTGTCGATGATTTTTTGTTGATTGATTTCTTTTTGATGTTGAAGCTAATCCCTGGTTGACTAAGGTCCTTGACCTTCTTGATGTCTTGACTACCATGTGCCCTCCTGACTGACTTCCTGCTCCTCACAGGTAGCTGCTGTGCGCGGGTGAGGTGGGTGATCAAGTGGCCTCTGGGCCTCGTGCTCTACTGCACTGTGCCTAATTGTATTCTGCCACGCTGGCACCGCTGGTTCATGGTCACCTTTGCGGCCTCGACCCTGTGGATCGCTATCTTCTCCTACCTCATGGTGTGGATGGTAAGACCGTGATCTTTTATTCTGAAACAACAACAAAAAACAAAGCAAAAATGACAAAAGAATTATCATAGATGCTTCAAGTGGCTGTTGGTTAAGGCTGGACCCAAATATTCGACTATTAGGATCTTTGTTCACTGTGTAGGTATTTGTTTTTTATTAACCCCTTGTGATAAAAAACATGCATAAAACACAATTAGAATAAAGGAATCCTTAAAAGTCAATGCCTTTAATTTAACCGAAAGAGCACTTTTAGCATGGAGACGAGCCAGGCCAGAGCCGCTGTTTTGTACGTCGGAGCGCAATCAATGAGGGGCCCGGGCTGAAAGGCCAGAGCGGAGGCCTCTGGAGGCTGCATTACACGTTCACCATTCACACAATACATGAAAACAGGATTCGTGGACTCATGACACATTTTGTTTGAGAAAAAGAAAAGGAGGAAGCCTCTGAGTGTGCGACAGAGGAATTGTGCTGCGTTGACATGAGCCCTACGGTCATGGCAGTCCCGCGCACTGCAGTTGAGTCGCCGGCCGAAGCTTTGAATATTCATTGTTGACTTACTTTGTTACTACCAAAGCTCCACAGCCAATATATAACGGTATTCAGTGCAGCCCTACTGTTGGTCTAATACAACAATACAGCTGTAGTTAACAGCGTGCTTTGAACTCTTTACATTGTTTGCATAGATGCAAATTGACTTTTGTACTACCTTAAAATGCTCCCTCTGTGTATACTTGACCCTGGTGTGTCCTAATGTTTCTTTCAGGTCACGATTATTAGTTTCACACTCGACATCCCAGACTACATCATGGGTATAACCTTCCTGGCAGCAGGGACCAGTGTGCCAGACTGCATGGCAAGTCTGATTGTAGCTCGACAAGGTAAAAAAACAAAAAGCCTCGTAGATGTCGTTATTCTGAATCTCCAACTCCAAGTACTATTCTGTCTTTGTGGTGCAAGTGCTTAAATTCAGCATTTCTCTGTCGCTTTTCCCGTCTCTTTTCAGGCATGGGGGACATGGCGGTGTCTAACTCCATAGGCAGCAATATCTTTGACATCCTGCTGGGTTTGGGTTTCCCCTGGGCTTTGCGTACCCTTGTGGTGGAGCACGGATCATCAGTATGCATACACTTTATCTCAGTACAATACCAATCTGTTTTTCTTTCTGTCTGTGATTCACTGATGTCTGCATGTGTTTGAGAGGGCTATCAAAAACCAAGACTTTGGGCTCTTACTTCTGTTAAATGGTCATAAAATTGTGACACTTGCTTTTCTTCCACTATAGGTCTCCATAAATAATAAAGGACTTGTGTATTCTGTCGTCCTGCTGCTGGCATCCGTGTTTCTGACGGTGAGGACACTTTAATTCAGTTCAAGACACCGTGGAGTGTTACTGTGCAGAGCAGAGTGTCTGATGAAATAACTCAACATGTAAAAAAAGAGAATTTGCCTGAATTAAACCCTGAAGACTTACGATTGACCTGCATGTCTCCCAGGTCACTAGTTCAGTGTGAAAAATGCAAAAACAGAAACGGTTTTCTAAAATGATTTCTTATATTTGAGGCCTAAAATTATATTAATAAATCAATTAATTAATCTTAAATTTTTGCCACAGAGTTTTTTTCTGTACATGGTGAGCTGTTTACAGCTTTGTGCACAAGCAAGTGATCAAAAATGTAATGAATGCAGGTTTAAGGGATAGTTTGATACATAGTTACTGGATTTATTTACCCTCAAATATTGACATCGGCCTGATAAATCCAGTATCAGTCTGCCTCTACTACATGTCCACTCTACCTACCTTTTTATAATAAATATCCTGGTGTCTCATACTGCCCATTCTACAGAGCAAAAACTTTAAAAAACGTTGTATTCCAGGTGAATCTTTTTGTGTCTTCCTCACCACTGTCTCTCTGCTTTCAGGTGATGTGTGTTCATCTGAACCACTGGAGGCTGGATCGCCGGCTGGGTCTGGGTCTGTTGTTTCTCTATACCATCTTCCTGCTCTGCTCCATCCTCTTCGGGCAGATGTGAGGCCTTAAGGGTCAAAAGACAACCCTGTAGGACAACATGATGAGTACCTACCTTTCTACCACACGTCCTCTTTCCTGAAGCCAAAAAAAAGAGCGACAGCATTGTTGTGTTCCTTGTGAGAGTTTCTGTGCACCTCTGTAGGACTCACTAGGGCAGTACTGTACACATGCAACTACACAAACACACACTAATGTCTTTTATCAATAGCACAATTTTTCTTTCTTTTTGTACAGTGCAGCGTCTTTGAAGTATCAAATTTGGTGACTTACCAAAATATTTAATGACATGGCAGATGGAAGTAGTAGGCTTGTGGGCCTTTAATAACAATATGAAACAGGAAGTGACCCCAACATAAAAACTAAAAAAATATCACGAATAATTGGTAATAGTTTTTTAAATGAATGCGTCATCACTATTTCCTGTTTCTTTAATCTGCCATGTCATGCTTGGATCTATTGTTCAAGATTTAAAAAAAAAAAAAACTTAGCAGATAAAAATTGTCTGTTGGAATTAGATTTGAACGCCCTTGTATGTTTTGAATGTACAACCTGTACCATAAGTGTGGAGATATTTACATGCATTCAAATGTAGCAGGCGGCACTGAATTACAGCAAAGACCCTCTGAACAGATGGTGAGGTACTTTACTATTACAATAAAGGACATGTATGTGTCTGTAGACTTTTAGAAAATGCACATTATTGTGACAATATTTTGCCTAACTACTTATAAGCAAGTATTGGTACAGCTTAATGTACGTAAAGAGATTAATTTAGTGTTACAGTATTTCTAGAATAATATATAATGTACGGCGATGAGTGTCGCAATCTTTGATGACTTTGATTGCAGGTTAGTTGTAATATGTCACGTTTAGGTACGACAATCGATGTTTGTATTGTACATTTTATGAGATTATTTAACTTTGGTGGAACATTTTTACTCGGATCAGGACAGAAGCATCACATTATATACTCGCACATGCACATACTGGATCCGTTTGTGTGTGGCATCGCAATAATGCTGTATATTCTATGTACATGCTGCTCCACTCTCCTTTTTATAAGATCATTCAGAAAGCACAACAATTTGGACACATTCAGATAATTAGATGAATTCAAGAATAAATGTTCCACCAAAAGGAACTGGGCAATTTGTTTTTGTCTTTTTTCCAAATGGCTGTATTATTATTATTATTATTAATATTATTGTCATTGTCTACCTGACAACACTTTTTACTGTTTGTAAATGTTGAATAATTAACATAGTTTTACAATAATAAATGTCCGACAGAGACTAGTTTTGTGACGTTTTTGATATTTTTAAAAGAAAATACATATGTAAGCCTACTTGTGAATTATTGTAACGGGATGAATGCATATGTTGTCAGTTTGTTTAGTGGAATATGAAGGCTGTTCTATCAGACTAGCACTTGCTATGAATTCAATTGCAGTTGTCTTAAAATCTTTAAAGCACTAAAATCTCTTATTTCAGTATTGATTCATTGACGACCTTAATTCATGCAAGGGAAGACAGAAAATTAAGCTCCGTTTACAGGTTTAAATTGAGTTTAAAAGAACAACAAAATATTTTTTTGAATTTTTTGAAAGAATGGCTAGAATAGAAGAAATAGCACTTAGTTTAAATGACAGTAAGTATTCATCCCTTGTCCCTCTAAATTGTCCCCACATAATCTGTCATAATTTAGGTTTACATAATTTTTCCATCTTTCAGTTACGGTTCAAAAGTATAGTTTCATTTAAACATATTTGATCAGATCTGCTCAAATGTCGTGCCAAAAGGTTTTGTACTAGATGCATCTTAATGGGGTTTTACTGCGACGGATGTTAAAATGTTTCAGCCTAAAGAAATGTGATAATTATCTGATAAATGCCTGTATCCTAAACATAAAAGCTACACTTTGACACTTGTGGGTAACTTTTTTTCCATGCCTATACTGCTTGTCCAGAAAAAAAGGCTGAAACTATTAGTTGTTTAGTTGATCAGTAGAAAATAAATCAATAACTAATCTGTCAATCAGTTAATTGTTTGAATCTTTGATCATGCAAATGTGTAATTTGCAGCTCCTCGTATGTGAGGATTTGCTCATTAGAAAGGCTGACAATGATGGAAAACATTTTTTTCTTCCCGCTCTTAATTTAGCACTGTTTTGCATTTGTGAGAGAATGCCATTCTGATGTAGAGACTGTCTCTGCATGCCCTCACTACCTTCATCCTTGTTAAGCATCCACAACCATCATTAACTAATTGTGTTTTTCCAGGAAATGATTTACAGCAGCTTGTGATGCTAATTTGTGCTTTCACTCCGCTGTCGGTAGTCTCTTCTGTTAACTCATGTATTCAGATCTACTAATAATCTCAATATGCTAGTGATTGCTACTGAGAGGCACAACAGCACCAAGCAGACGGTTGAACTCCAGAACTTGTTGTGGTTTCACAACGCATTCAAAGAATGTTATCTTTATCCTGCTCTGATGTTAGGAGCTAGTGGCTCTTTTAGAGTTGAAATGTATTGCTTAGAGGTCGTATTGGATCATAGAAGACTGTTGTATCTTGAGACCAATAAATAACGTGCAATAACAATTGGTCTCTTTCACCTGATATGTTCTGTAGGTTGCAGTGATAATGAATGGATGGAGCTGCCTCAATGCCGAATGATTAGAAAAAGGACATTTAGTCTATGACAGGCATCTAATCGAATCCTGAAGTTGCATTTAATACATGACCTTTTTTAAGACACTTTTTATACAATTCAAGAACTTATAGCCACATAAATCCTAACCAGTTACACCACACCAGCAACACACTAACTTGCAATCAATGAATAGTAAATGTAATATAGCGCAGCTAAACAGTCATAGTTTGGGATAATTCCTTGGACCACTGTATCAATGCTACATCATTCCAATAGACAGGGTGGGAATCAAGTATTAACAGAATTAATGGAGTAACTAACCCAATGCAAGGTATAGTTTGTCAAAGCGCCGGCTCTCAGAAACATTTGGTGTGACCACTAAACGGGAAATGAAATGCATGCGTTACATTTGAATCATCCACGGTCTATATATTTACTTTCAATACTTATGATGTAATACACTACTTACTATAATGTCTTCAAGACGTAGTTTATATTATTCATAAGAATGTATTAGTCATAGTATAGTTTGCCATGAAGTCATAAGAAAAAGTCATTGTGTAGTAGAAATTCATAGTTCAGGATGGTATAGTATGCCATAAACATTTCTTGAAAAAGGTCATAGTATAGTAAGCAATAAAATCATAAAAAATGCTATACTATGACTTTTTTCTACATACTATACTGTGACTTTTCGACATAGTGACTTTTTTATGACTTTTTTCGACATGCTATACTGACTCTTTTCGACATGCTATACTATGACTCTTCGACATGCTATACTATGACTCTTTTCGACATGCTATACTATGACTCTTCGACATGCTATACTATGACTCTTCGACATGCTATACTATGACTCTTCGACATGCTATACTATGACTCTTCGACATGCTATACTGTGACTCTTTTCGACATGCTATACTGTGACTCTTTTCGACATGCTATACTGTGTCTCTTTTCGACATGCTATCCTGTGACTTTTTTCGACATGCTATCCTGTGACTTTTTTCGACATGCTATCCTGTGACTTTTTTCGACATGCTATACTGTGACTTTTTTCGACATGCTATACTGTGACTTTTTGATGACTTATGATTTCTTTCGACATGCTATACTATGACTTTTTCGACATGCTATACTATGACTCTTTTCGACATACTATACTATATTATGACTTTTTCGACATGCTATACTATGACTTTTCGACATGCTATACTATGACTTTTCGACATACTATGACTCTTTTCGACATGCTATACTATGACTTTTTTCGACATACTATACTATGACTTTTTTTGACATTCTATACTGACTTTTTTCTACATACTATACTGACTTTTCGACATACTGTGACTTTTTTATGACTCTTTTCGACATGCTATACCATGACTTTTTTCGACATGCTATACTATGACTCTTTTCGACATGCTATACTATGACTCTTTTCGACATGCTATACTATGACTCTTTTCGACA